CCTGAACAATCTTATTTCCTGACCCAGAGAATTGCTGTGAAGATAACTTTCCCCAACTCACAACAGAGGGGGCCTCTCTAGAAAACAAAATAAAAATTTAAAAACCCACAAAAAAACCTCACAATATTACAGTAAGCACTATCATTAATGGTGACATATCAATAGCTTTTCTTCTAAGGTCAGGGCTGAAATAAGGATGTCTGCTATTATTACTTCTTTCCAAAATTGTACTGGCAAAACTCTCCAGTACAACAACGTGAGACAAATAAATAAAATGTCTAAGGACTGAAAAGGAAAAATTAAAACTCACATTTTTACAGATGAGCTAGAATATGGTATCTATTTTTTTTAAAGCCAAAGAATCAAGATAAATTGTTAGACTAACTGAGTTTGGCAATGTTGCGGGATACAAGGGCATTATACAAAAATCTACTTCTACATATGTTCCAGGTCTATATTACTGAGTGACAAATCATCCCCACATTTCATGGATTCAAATAACAATAATCATATATTATCTTTCACGGTTTCTGTGCATTTTGGATTCAGGAAGGGCTCGGCTGGATGTTTCAAGGTTTTCATGTGGTTGCAGTCAGACAGTGGGTGGAGCTGGAACAGCAGGGGGCTGGCCCACCTGGGGAGTGGCTGGTTATCTGTCTCTTTTTATTTAGTCTCAGGGTCTCTGCATAGTGGCTTAGGGTTCCATAGACAAAGGTCCCAAGAGACGGAGCCAGGCAGAAGATGTATTAACTTTCTTGACCTCGAGTTAGAAGTCATGCAGCATCCCTTACCATATTCTATTTTGTTGAAAACCATTCACTAACACCAACCTTTTATAAGGGGGAGGTTATTAGACTCTACCCTTTGGGAGGAGTGTCAAAAATGTGTTGACTTGTTTTAAAACCACCACCCAGTACCGACAATAAACAGAAAATAAAACACCATATAAAGAAACCACTTGTAGTAGTTTCAAAAACATAAAACACCCAGGACTAAATCTAATAAAAGATGCCAAGGTCTTTACATACAAAACACTGCTGAAAAAGAAAAAAATAAAATAAAATAAAGAACAAACAAAAAAGTAAGAAACAAAAAAAAGGAAAGAAAAAGAAAACAAACAAACAAAAATGTAAAAAAAGAAAACTGCTGAGAGAACTTAAAAAAAAACACAAAAAAACAAAAAACCCTAAATAAATGGACATACCATGTTTATGGAGAAGAAGACTTACTATTGAAAGTGTCAATATTACCAAAATTGATCTAAAAACTCAATGTGATAGCAACTAAAATCCCAGCAGGATTGTGTGTGTGTGTGTGTGCGTGTGTGTGTGTGTGTGTGTGTGTAAACAGATAAGCTGATTTTAAAATTTCTATGGAAGTACAAAGGTCAGGAATAGTTAAGGCACTCTTGAAGGAAAATTGGGTAGGCTTTTCCATGGGACATTAAGACTTATTAAAAAGCTATAGTAATCTACACAGTGTGAAAATGGCACAGGGAGAGAAAAATAGGCTAATGGAACAGACTAGAGAATTCAGAAATAGTCCCGTGAACATATGGACAACTTGATTTATGACAAAGTTAACACTGCAGAGAAGTTGGGGGGAAGGTGATCTTTTCAATGAATAGTGCTGGGTCAGTTGGATATCCAGATGGAAAAAAAGGAAAGGGGCCAGAGGGAAATAACCTTCTGATGAGATATGGTGATGTATTTCTAGAAACAATGACTGCTGAAATTTATTTAGAAGTTCTTTCCTTTTTGAGCTGTAATTTCCCTCTGTTGTTCCCAAACCTTTAGTGAAAGTGTTTCCCACACATATCTCGTATTAGTGGATCTTTATGGTCACTGTTGACAAAAAAAAAAAATGTCCAAACCAATGGAAAAATTTTATAGGAGTTTATTTGAGCCAAATCTGAGGCCTGACCCGGAAGCACATCTCAAAGTATTGAGAAAATGCTCAGGAGGATGGCAGTTGTGCAGTTTGTTTTTTCTTAAAGAAGTTTTATTGGGGCACGGTGTGTTTTTACAGGACCTATCAGGTCCAAGTCAAGTAGTTGTTTCAATCTAGTTGTGGAGGGCGCAGCTCCTTGGCCCATGTGGGAATGAACCGGCAACCTTGGTGTTGTGAGCCTGCGTTCTAACCACCTGAGCTAATCGGCCACCCCTGCAGTTCTTTTTATGCATTTAGAATCAAGGAGCGAATGTAAGGAAAGTTACATAAAGTCCATTGGTGGTAGATGAAGGAGGCAGGAGAAAGCAAAGTGGGGAAATCTCTAGGATTGGATAAAAAGTAAAATGAAGAGATACCCACATTTTTTACATTGGTGAGTATAGGATAGTTGACCGTCAACAATCACAGTAAATAGAGATGGCATGCAGGCAACAAGATAACAATGAGTCTCACCTAGTCTTGTGCTCTGGTGCCAGTGGTTGTGCCTCTGAGGGGTTTGGAAAAGAAAACTATCCAGACATTTCAAAGGTATGTTATCCTAGCTGCATAAGAACAATGAACAGGGCGGGCTTAAGGTAAAGATTGACCTTGCTAAGGAAGCTATGGGCCTGGAAGGTGACTACCCACCATGACCTGATCAGTTAGGAATTTATGATCAGATCATCCTGTGTGGTTACTTTTGGTCACTGAGCTTATCAGGCTAGCCATGTAGCCCCCTGAGCCTGTCAGGTCTGCTATGGAGCCCCCTTTTATGTTCACCTCACAAACAGTGGTCCTAGCTCTAAATCAGGACCATCAAAGCCTAGTTTAGCAGTTGGGAGCTAAGTTCCAAGTGGGCTCCTGAGTGAGGAAGAGGCTCACTCCCTTATCTCCAAATAGCATCCGAGTCCCATTCTGATTCACTTCTGCCTCCTGGCAGCCTGGCCCTTCCCAGCCAGGCATCCTGAGTGTGAGACAGCCAGGACCCAGAGGGCAGTGGTGGAGCAGTCAGTGGGAGATGAAGGAGCAGACACTGCTAGTTTAGACAATTCTTGAAAACGGGAGGAGCAACAGGCCAGCTGCCGGCAGGTGATGTGAGGAATGGGCTTTTGTGTATGTGTGTGTGGGAGAGGGAGCCTGTTTCAGTCGCCTCTCTGCCCCACCATGGGAGTCATCCCATTTCGGTCCAGGAGACCATAAGGCAGGGCAGATTCTGAAACTCTCCTCAGAACTTGTTTCTAGGCCATTCCTGTGGCCATCTCTCTCTCCCTATCATTAAAGGGGGCGGGGTCCTTCTGCCTTCTCCTGGTGATTTTAGTCTTGGATACTCTGGAGGCAGCGGAGACTACTCACTTGGAGCTCCATAACTGGCCCCGTAAGTCCTTGCCTCAGTTTCCTCTTATGTAAAGGAGAGTTTAAGCGCAGTAATCCTCCAGGGTCCCTCTGCAGGGACTCAGATCAGTGGGACAAAGAGAGAGGGCATCCTAAGAGCCCCTTTCCCGCTCCCTCCGTAACACAGCACCCATCTCCGAAAGTATTTCTTGTCACCACCTTCCTCCCTCTCCCCCTCCCGCCCCCACGCCGCGCAGGGCTCATTGTCGCCCTCAATATTTAGGGCGGGGAGTGTCCCATTTCTGGGAGGGGTGTCATACCGGCTTCTCCCTCCTCTCACCCTTGGTAGCGAACGGCGGGAAGGAAAAGTGTCGCCTGGACAGGCGCGCAACCCTCCCGGACCCCCAGGGGCGATGGGCCAGGCCGGGGATCGAGCGGCAGCCAAGCCAGTAGAAGGGACTTCGCCCCTCCATCTCCGGGCCCCGGCCGGGGGGCCCTCGGCGGCGCCGGAGGCCGGAACAATAGCTCGCGGGGGCGGGGCGGGGGCTGGGGCGGGGCGCTCGGCCGGGCGCCGCCCCCAGCCCGCCCCCCGCGCTCGCAAACCCGCTCTCACACTGACTCCCACCCGCCGCCCGCCCAGGCACTGCCCGCGGGAGCCGCCGCCGCCGCGCCCGCCATGGACGTCCGCCTGTACCCCTCGGCGCCCGCGGTGGGCGCGCGGCCCGGGGCCGAGCCCGCCGGCCTGGCGCACCTGGACTATTACCATTGCGGCAAGGTAGGCGGGGGCCGGGGTGGGGGCCCAGGCGGGCGGGGCCGGCCCGCGCCTTCGGACCCCGCGCCGGGGCCAGAGCGTCCCGTGCTGGAGAACCGGCAGGAGTCACCTGGCCGCTCGGGACGCTGGCACTTTCGGGTACACACAGGGGGAGCTGCCGGCGGTGCCCACGCGCGGGGACACGCACACCTTAGTCCCGCCGACGGGCACATGCCACTCACACGGATACCCTTGCGGTTACGCTCACGCCCTGAGTTGTTCGGATCACAGGCAGAAGTCTTTGACAGTCACACGATGACACAATGACACTCACACTCACCGACGTCCCCCTGACAGCCGCACATTCTTTCACCAGCTGACACACAGTGACCCACTGCCACACACAGGCAGCCCTGTCCCTGAAACTGTCTTACCGTCCCACACAAGTCACCCTGACAGTCATTCATAACAATGACACGCAATCACTCGCCCACGTACACTGTCACACCGCCACATACAAGTGCCCATTCACACACTGCTATGCCACACACCCTGTTACATGCCCCCCTTCCGCTGTCACAGTCACAACTGGGGACAGTCACACAAAGAAGTCACTCCGATAGTCACACGCTTGCTCTCACAGTGACCCACACAAGCGCACATTGTCACACACAGCCACCCCGTGGACGCTGAACCTCAGACACATTAATCGTCCTGACGGTCACAGTCACACGCGGTCTCCCAGGGGCAGCGACAGCCCCCGCACTGCCCCTCCCCCACCCCGGTCGTCCAGACTCGCGCGTCCAGGTTTAACTTCTCAGGCGTTGCCGCGCACTAATTGGGCCGTTTACTAATTGGCCATCACGACCCGGCGGGACCTTGGATTCCGAGTTGGCAATGGCCAGTCGAGGCCTGTCCTATCCTGGTAACGGTGAGCGGGCATCCCTTCAGGCTGGGGCTGTAGTGAGGGACACCTCCATCCCCTTTCCCAGATCGCCGCGCCCACCCCCAGCCGGGTCCCGGCTGCTCTGCGCCGGGCGCGATGGAAGCTCGCGTTCGTGGATCCCAGGACAAGGGGCGTCCCACCCCCACTCCCCACGCCGAGCCCTGCCTGGGACCGTTAGGAGCACCTGCGCGGTCTGCGTCTCTCCCTTCGCCCAGCAGGGAACTTTCAAACTTAGTTAGGAGCCAGACGATCCGTGCGTCCGCGGGTCGGTGCGTGGGTTGGGGACGGCTGGAGCAGAGCGCGGCTTTTCGTCACTCGGAGCCCGGATTGAACGGCGCGCGTGGGTTTCCCCGGGGCCCTGGCGCTGGCGCGCGGGCTCGGTGGCGCTGCCTGGTGAGTGCGCGTCGGGTGGTTGGATCGGTGACCCTCCCGGGGTCTCAACCCCACCCCATCCCATCCCACTGGTTTTTCACACATCCCCTTGAGGTGGGGATGCGGCGGGAAGGGGCATCCCAGCGTGCGCGAGGCCTCCCGGGCTGGGCCTCCGAGTGCGTTCTCAGGCCCTGGGGAGCGGCTTCTGGAGTCGCTCGGCAGAACCCTCTGCAGCTCGCCCCGGATGGGACGTGGGGTCCGGGGGCACCAGGGCCTGGGGCGGCGTGGGGACGGTGGTGGGCGACAAGTGAGGTTTCCGGAGGATGGAGGTGATTATCTTTTGTCTGGTGACCCGCAAAGTTAAAAGCTGAAGAGGGGGATGGTGTCCGCGAGAGAATGCTGGTTCTCGGGCTGCTGCCAGTCTCATGGAGGGAAAAATTGATTAACAGTAGCAAGTGGAGTCTTCAGGGAGGAAGACGCGGTTGGGTGTGGGGGCAGCTGGTCTGTCTTCTGCCCTTGGCTTTGTTATTTTTTAAAATAATGAAGTTGGAAAGGCTCCAGCCTCTTGTTTGGGGATATGGCTGGGGATGGGGCATTTGTGCCTTCAAGTCTGGGTGGGAGGATGGGTGGGTGCCCCTAGATGGGGGAGTGCTCCTTTTGGGGGTGGTGTTTCTGTAAACGCTGCCAGAGTGGGGGCATATAGGGGCCTTTGGGAAATGGCACTCAGCCGAGGCCCCTGCGTTATTTTGATGCTCAGTAAAGCTCTGACTCAGCACCAAGAATCAGGGTGAAACCCCAGGCAGGGAGGGAAGGACACAGGGAATGAGTGATACTGGTTCCCCTCTGTGATGTAAGACCCCTGCCTGGACCAGAGCTGAGGGTGTGTCAGGGAGGAGGGTGGCCAGCTCGGTCACTAGGACAGGTGAAAGAAAGGTCTGACCTTGCACTTGGCTATAAGACAGGCTGCTTAGTCCTTCAGGCTCTGGCAGGGTGAGGCAGGGAAAGTCACTTGGCTCAGCTGAGGGTGGGTAAGAGGCCTGTTGGTAGCAGATCCCAAGTGGACAGTGGTCTTCAGTGGTGGTGGCTGGGGGGAGGGGTGCGTGATAACCAGGAGCTAACGGTGAGGGACTGGGGAGAGAAATACCCAGACTCCATCCTTACAGCTGGTCATTATCAGAACTGGAGGGGAAACTGAGGCCTAAGGTACCGCAGTGACCACACGTGGGGCCTGTAGACTGCACTGCAGAGCCTGGACATGGCCTGCACATTGGGGGCTGGGCCCCTGGAGTCCAGACAAGAGGCTTTTCCCCACAGGGACCCAGGCCTGAGAAACACAAGGGCAAGCATTTGCCCAAGCGATGCCCGACAACCACTGCACTGTTGACCTGGAAGGGCCCTTGGCGACCGTTCCCTTGGTGACTGTCCCCTTAGTGATCCGCCACACAGAGATTCCAGCCTCTTTAAACCAAAGTCATGAGCAGTGGCTGTTCTTTTGGTATCTTTTGTTTGAGAAAATACACAATGGCAAAAAGGCTCTTATGGTTTCATTTTTTGCTTTGAAATAGATACGTATTTTATTAATCACAATAATATTAGCATGCATTTGAAAAATAGCTCACTAGATCTGAGGCAGGCATATTACTTACTTCATGTAAGAACAGTGCCTGGTGAGCATAGGTGCTTGTGGTGTGTGGCCCCCTGGGATGTGTAGCCCCATGCTGGGAACCATTGACCCCCTCCTTTTTTCTTGCATCACAGAAGGGGAAACTGAGTCATGGAGTAGTGTACTCAGAAGTTACAAAGCAAGCACAGAGCAAGGCTGAGGACTGAACCCCAGTTCCTTGACTCCCAGCGTGACACTCACCTGGCCTCCCCACAAGCCTGTGTCGTGGTTTGGGGGTTAGGGGGGCTGTGACATCCTCCCTAGGGTAACTGTGAATACCCTTCACTCAGATTTTGGCAGGGCGCTTTACCAGGCGGGGGAATTGCCTGGGGCTTCCCGCTCCTCTACGGCAGACTAGTGGAAAGTGGCCATTGGTTTGGGGCAAACCCGGGTTCACGTCTCCATTTGTGGCTTTGTGACTTAGGGCAAATGATTTTTAAACTTGTTTGTTATCGGGATATGATTTACATACAACAAAATGCAAATTTTAAGTGTATCATTCCATGAGTTTGGATGGTAACCACATCCCAGTCTAGCTAGAGAACATATCCGTCACCCTAGAAAGTTCCCTCATACTCTTCCCAGTCAGCACCCTTTTCCCCACCTCTAGAGGAAACTGCTTATCTGATTTCTATTATCAAGGCTTTGTTTAAGTTCAGCCTAAGTGTGCGAAGTATATTTAAGTTATAGAACTTGATTCAGTATATATATTTTGGTGCCTGGCTTCTTTTTTGCTCAACGTGGTGCCTTTAAGATTCATTGTGTATGTATATCTGTAGTTTGTTCCATTTTATTGCTAAATAATATTACATTGTATGATGTAGCATAATTGGTTTATCCGTTCACCTGCCAGTGGACATTTTGTTTGTTTCCAGACTGGGGCTATTATAAATAAAGCTGCTGTGAACATTTTCATTACAAGACTTTTTGTGGGTGGAGCAAATTATTTAATATCTCTGAGCCTCGGTGTCCTCTTGAGGACAACATTGCCTACCTCGGAGGTTCAGGAGGGTTAAGTGAGGGGATGTAGGCTAGGACAGGTCTTGGCACATACCAGCTACTAATTACATAATGATGGTATCAACCACCTGCAACCTATTCTGGTAAGAGGCTCAGCATCTCTGTGTTCCAAGCATTCTTCATCACTGGTCCCAACATCACTGGTTCAAAGCCAACCTGGGTACCTCTTTTCTTCATGCAGTGCTCCACGGCTAACCACCTTCTTTCTTCCTCCAGGCTCCCCCCAAACTGGTACTGCATGGGATGTGGCATGTTCTGCCATCCATCATTCAATCAACAAGCAGCTATTGAATACCTCTCGGTGCTTGGCACTGTGCTAGGCAACTGATGCTATAGCAGTGAACAAGCGTGACTCAAAATTGCTGCCCTCTGGATCTTATGCATTAGTACGGGCAGTCATAAATATATGGGTAAAATAAATGGTATTATGACCAAAGACAATACAATTATGGAGAAAACGAGGCGGGGAAGAGGGTTAGGGGAGAGTTAGGGGCGCCAAGGCCAGGCACTGGTTTGCAATGTTAAGTAGGGAGGTTGGGGAAGGCCTTGTGGTCCAGACCAGTGTTCTCAAATTTCTGAACACATGAAGAATTATCCAGTGAGATTTTAAAAACAGATTCCTGGGCTCCACCCCCAGAGATTCTGATACAGGGGCCCTGAGAACTTGCATGTCTAATGCGCTCCCAAGTGATGCTGCTGGTGGTCCAGCAACCACACTGTGTGTTTTGTATATTGGTTTTTGTCTGTAGGTTTGTGTATAGGCTTGGGTATCGCAGTGGTTTGTATATCGGTTTTTGTGGGCTCCCAGTAGGCAGAAACCATGCCCAGCCCCTGGCACAGTGCCTGCCCCATAATTACTCAGGAAATATGCGCTGGTGGGTGAATGACTCAACTCTCCGCCCACACAGCCCTGGGCACAGCATGTTATACCTGGATGGGATCTAGACAAGCTTGGTTATGAATGGTTGGAGTCTCCTTGTGATGAAAACCCAGGGTGTGGGAGGTGCTGTTCCCACCTCATTTGGACTTGGGATACTCTGCTCAACAACCCTGCTGGGTGAGGTCCCCATAGCTTCCTTCCGCAGGGGCACAGGTGCTTGTGGGGGGGTCCTGTGGAAGGAGCCCCGGGCTGAGTGAGCTCTGAGCTGAGAGCCCTGGAAGGATGCCTGCACCTCTGGTAGGAAGCCCTTCCTTTCCATCTAAACATGTTCCCTACATCCCCTCCCGCAGCCTGCCCCAGGGGGTCGTCTAGGACCACGCTTTGGCACCTTTTCCAATGTCAGGCCTGGCACTGCTGCCTCCAGTCTGCTGGGTAACCTTGAGCATGACAGTGCCCTTCTTGGGCCCGTTTCCCTCTGTGCAAGGGGACCATCACCCTAGTGAGATGGGGAGCTGTGGTGAGGAAATGGAACGAAATAAAGGCTGGGCATGTCCTTTAAGGATGAAGATGATGCTTTCTGAGGAGATGGGGCCTCCTATGCTTCAGAGGGCGGGAACCGCTGTGTCTACTTTTCCTGTTATATCTCCAGAGCTGGCCTGGCACAAAGATGCTCAATAAATATTGAATGAATGAATGAATGAATGAATGGCCTGTTGTCCCCTGTGGCTTGAGGAACTTAGCATCTGTCTGGCTCATATCATCTGAAGACTGTGGTGAGCACATCGAATCCAGGGCAAGGCAGGGGCCAAGTGGCTTTTGGCTGACATGTCATTCCTAGAGGGCCTTCCCTGACAGAGAGGGCCCAGGGGACAGAGCCCAGCGCGGGAAGCAGCCAGTAAGCCAGGAAGAGCAAGCGGCTCAGAGTTTGTATGCAGGACCAGGCCCCCTGCTACATACACCCTTGTCCCAAGGATTCCCCACTACAGCATGACTGCCAGCTTTGTGTGATTCCGTAGGGCCATCTGTTTTGCTTCTCTGATTTCCTAGACACTGTTAGGATCTGAAGGCAGCATAGATTCTGGAAGCCGGCAGACCTGGGTTTGAATGCTGCTCTACCATCCTCAGCACAGGCCAGTTAGGAACCTGCCTGTGCTCCGGTCTCCTCTTCTGCAGAATGGGCGAAAGCCCCATGGGTTGCCTTGCCAGGAGGGTTGGAGATTAGGCATATACAGCACTCAGCCCCAGCAGGAAATGAGTTCCATTTCTATTCACAAAGAGCAGCAGAATTGTTAACATGCAAAGGGAGCTGAGTTTCAGCTGGGGCTGCTGGAAGATTGGCCGTTCCTGCAGTGCAGGGGAGGGGTCTTCCTACTATCAGGCATTTCCTTGCCTTGCTTGGTCCCGGGATGGGATTTCCTAGGCCTCCGGTTGGAGGAGGTCTCCTGTTGGACTGTTTAG